GGAGGGAGGGAGGGAGGAGGAAACCAAGGACAGACCAACAACAATTACACCACAGTCCGGCTTGCTAACCCAGTGACTGTTTCCAGGTTCCTACATGAGCAGGGACAACATGAAGCAGTGGCATCACGACGGAGCTCCCTGGAGCACAGCTGGGGCGGGGGGGACTCACGGAACTCTGCAGGCCCGGAGCTCTGCCTGTGGCTTCCAGGGAAAATCCCCCCTCCAGCCCTTGTTGCTGTTTTTATAACCTTTAAGATGGCCCTTGTGAATCTTGGAAACTTTAGCTTTCTCAGACACTTTCTGTGACATTTGTTTACTTTTAGAGTTTCATGAGTACCCTGAACCTCCTTCCTGGAAAGAATGTACATGCAATTTAAAAATATTAATTTCATTTTAGACAGGATCCACTATGCACTCCTGGTTGGCCTAGAACTGGCTATGCAGACCAGGCTGGCCTTGAACTTACAGAGATCTGCCTGTCTCTGCCTCCTGAGTGCTGGGATTAAATAGGTGTGCCACCATGTCTGACTGGCTTATTTTTAATTATGTGTATGTGTGTGGGGTCAGGGTGCACGAATTCATGCAGATGCCTACAGACACCAAAGAGGCCATAGGTGTTGGGTTCCTAGAGCTGGAGTTACAGGCAGTTGCAAGCAGCCCTGTGTGGGTGCTGAGAACCAAGCTTGGGTCCTTAGCAAGAGCAACATGAGCTCTTAACCACTGAGTCATCTCTTCAGCCTCAGTGGGGGGGTGACCCCTTATCACCCCGATGCATCACTACTAAACCCTAAAGCTTCCTTTCTTGTTTGTCCCCAGGAGCTCATATTAATACCACTAAAACAATCTAAAACATTCCAACTTGTAAAAGCTCTAGTCTCTGTCAAACACTTTAAAAGTTCAGTCTTTTTGAAATATTTAGTTTCTCTCTCTAATACTAAAACTCAAACTGTGGACTTTTTTTTTTTAAGTCCTTCTTTTTTTTTTTTTTAAATTCTTTCTTGCTCCAGGAGGGAAGAGCCAGGGCACAGTCACAGTCAACTCAGGTCAAAACCAAAGTCCAACCATGTCCAGCTCAGTGCTGTTAGGTCTCAAACTTGGGACAAATGGCTGAGGTGCCTATTTAACATATCAAGTGGAAGCTGGCCACCAGGTTCTCCCAGCATCCCTCAGTCCCGACCTGTTACAGCCCTCCTGGCTGGCATACCCCACCCCCTACCCCGAACTCTCCAGTACAGGGGGCTGGGCTGCTCTTCCCTGTATGATCCAACCATTTTGGTTACCTGTTCTCTTTGTAGCTTTGGGCATCCTGGCTGCTGACCTGGTTCCTCTCTTTCCTCTCCTCTTCACATGGCCCAGCTCAGTCTGATCATGTCCACTCTGGACTCTCCCAGATGTCTCTGCCTCTGATTATACTCTCCCTTTTATCTACAATAAGCCTTCTCCTCCACCATACCTAGACGCAGTCATGTTTTCCTTTCCATTATTTATTAATTCAAGTGTCAGTCACCTGGGACTCACTTCTGGACTCCAGGGGGCTTGAACAGCTCTCCTCTGCTCTCTGCCATCCCCAGCCTCGAAGCTTGTATCCTAACCTCAGAGCAGCTCCACTCCACACCTGCTGGTGTCCTTGGCGATCGTCCCACGGTATTGGCATCTCCAAAATGCTCAGGTCTCTACTGCTGCTGGCTTCCCTTCACCAACAGCCTCCTCTGGGCTCTCTTCAGTGACCCTGACCCTGCCACATGGTGCCAAACCTCGGCTTCTCTCCAGGACCCCTCAAATACTGGAGTTTCTACTGAAAACCGGGGTTGTACTTCACCAACGTCCTCTTCTCAGGGACTCCAGCCTTGGCACACAGGGCAAAGCCTTATCTGCTCTCTATGACCCCTTCATGCACTCAAAACCAGTACCACCTGGGAAACTTCCCACATTACCAGTTCAGCTGCCAGCACAAGACACAGCCTTGACCCTGTCTCTGAACCACAGCCTCTGCGTGCTGACCCTGAAGACACACTCCCAGAAGACTTCACCCCAGTGATGCTGCTCTCTTAGCCACAACTCCAACTGACCAGCATTCACTGTCCCAGCAAAGAAGAGATTTCACTTCAGTGTTTCTGGTCTCTTGTTAATGACAGCTTCACCCACCTGACCAGAACCACAGAGTCTCAATATCAAACAGCCCCAACAGAGTCTTTAAAGGACTCTCAAACTTCCCTCAGCAGTTTCACAAGCCAGGCCTCCGGTGTGCACTGCTCTCAGCATTATCTTCCAAGTCCCTACAGTAGCTCATTAAGCTTTGCACACTAAGTCCCAAAGTCCTTCCACGGTCCTCCCCAGTCTCGTCTGTCACAGCAGTACCCACTAGTACCAGCTTTT